CGAGCCGTTTAGATTTGTGCCAAACTGTTTACTGACGCACAGACGGACGCACGCTCATGCGATTCTACAAGCTGCATCCGACTATGTCAGATGAGCTAAAAATTAGAAAAGCCAAACATACAAAATTACCAGGCATTTATTGCTCACAAATGGAATTAAAATCAAGTAAAAGTACATAAAAATATGCACAGATAAAATAGAAGGGGAATTTTCCCAAATGAGTCGTACATTTTTCTTTGGATGGGTTGTGATCATATGAGTAATACTAGTACGTAAATCATTCCATAGCACATAGAAGCATTGATAAATAACCGAGCACCGTAAATAACCAAGGTTACGATCTATATCCTAATACCATTGCACAAATACAAATTGCTGACAGAAATAAGAAATGGTGGATTATAAATATTGCAGAAAATAGAAATCTGAATGAAAAAGGACTGTAGTTCTATATAATAAACACAACCACCAAATTAAAGTAAACTAGGTAATAATATCTAGATCATATAACTAACTACACGATTCTGTAGAAACACAACGCAGTTTCCTACACAAGTACGAGGCATGATTTTCTAAAAATATACTGTGAAGACCAACGTAATCATGGTAATATATAAATCTCAATATCGTCACTATATATAAATGGTATAATGTAAAAAATTTATCAGATTGGCATCTTCATAATATAACAGAATGAACCAGATAATACCATTCTACAGCAAAAGAAGAGCAGGACGATTCACCTGGACATAATTAAAAGAACTTCGTTTGAATACTTTGTAGCATAAGTATCAATGAGAACTACCAAGCAGACTGCTATCATAGACCATGTGTTATGACTCGTTCTGTGCATTTCTGAGATCTTGCACAAAAGACACGTGGCTAGAAAGCAAATAATTATCAGTGCAAAATTGACACCGACTTGACTAAACCCAGCCACAAATAATTTGCAATGAGTTATGAGCTTTCACAAAGTAGCAAATGATAGCTTGAGATTTTCGACACGCTGGATTTATGCCACATTTTCACCACAGACGATGTGGTAAGACAATTTATAAAACAACAAAATTATTTCACTGTTCCTTTTATAAATTCGAGCATGACTTAACTGTTGAAGACGAATGGAGTAAAAACTGCTTTTTACGGCTTACCTTTAGACACGTTCAATAATGAAGGGCAGTATAATAGGAATGTAGCCTCTGTTCACTGTTCAAGGACAATAGTGAACTATTTCACTTCAATTTATGGCCAACTCCAACGAGAAACGCGATTCCGATTCCATGACGTTTCGTTTTGCATACAGATGATGCGTCATTAGAAGCAAGCATCGCTCCCGCCTACACACTCATGCCAGACGTGCCAGCAATGGAGCCCTGTAGCTCGAGGACCGGCGACAGCTGCACACACGGCCGGGTCACAGACGCATTGAGTGTCGTCTGCTTTCTACTTGCAGTGGACACATCAAGGGATGGCTTGTCGGAAAACACAAGCGGCAGTGCTGAAAGAACACAGACAGTGATAGAAAGTGATTAGGACTAGAGTATGTAGAAGACTTTGCCTTAATAACTGCTACGCTTCTGCATAATTGGCACTGCATTGATTATAATGTAGGAGAATTACAGTAAATTATCAAGTCATAACAGTGGAATTTTGAAGGTTAATAGTCTACTGATGGTAGTGCTATTCGCTTTCACTGTGCAATGCTGGATTTATATAAAACGTAGTCTTCACAACGTAAAGTCTGGAATAAAATCTAGTGATGTGCTGGACCAGTGAGTGTATGTATTTCGTACTTTCATCCTTCAGGCTGGCTCGGATCTGTGTGAGGGTCTCTTTGGCTCGCATGGTGAGAAAGCTCACAGCGTTTCTGTGTCTCGCCAAGCTTGCTTGAGACACATCACCTCCCTTATTCTCATCCTGCATACCCTGGCTTGGCCTAGTGACATGAACACACAGGATCAGCAATCTTCCGCTAACCCACAATATATATTTCATCATCTACTTCCCCCGTTAAAGTAGCGTTTCACAAAGAAAAAAAAAGAAAAAAAACAACAACAATAAACAAGTGCTACCATTGCAGTAGATCTACTATATTATGGCTAAAAATGTTTAGCAACACAAGTTTATAACAGGTAACAGGTGCCATTACTGTAATACATACCTCAGCGCAGTCCCATTTCTTCCCCCTAGACTGCTGAGCACTTTTTGCAACTCGTACACAAACTGCAGTAGTATATCTAGGGCAGCGGCGTAGTTGCTCTTGCTTTCTTCTTTTCTCTGCAGAAGGGCTAGGATGTCGGACAGCTCGGACGGTGGCGCGGTGAACGGCTGGTCTCTTTGCCCCGCCTGCAACAGCCACGCAAGCCAAACGATAACGAACGCATTCCACGAGAAATGATCACACCAAGAGAAACCGTAGATGGATAACATGGGTAACAATGTTAATCCATTGACACATTTTTTCGACGGTTAAAGTGGATAAACTTCGTAACAAAAAGCCCATATACACCTACTGTGCGCATATTTGCAGTATGCAAACATCACGAAATGTTCTTTATTGAGCCAGAAATGTGCTCCAGTTGAGATTTTGAAAACTTCAGTTGAAGTGAATTTTTACGACATGGACGAGCTCACAGTAGGTATACATGGTATATCTATGCATTTTTCCTGTGAGAACATGCAGTTGTAACACAGTTAAAATCAAAGTCACAATCGTTATGCTCTTAATTTCCTACTCACGTATGACAGCAGATCGTGTGCGTGACCGTGTGCCTACCTGCTTGCGATTTGGATTCTGGCTTGCCAGCTTGGCAAGCTCGCTCTCCAGCAAGGAGACGACTTGATCGTAGTCGGTCTCGACGTGCCGGGCCTGTGCGGCAGCAGCCTCGGACATCCGCACTCGTGCACGCAGCGCTCGCGTCTCTGCTATCGCCTCCTGTGCATTCTGCAGCAGGCAACACACTTAGGTTACGCTTACAATGCCCCTGTAATGTGTGGCCTGTATATGTGCTTACCGTATACATGCACGACATGCAGTTACCATTGCAACGTGTGGATGTCATGTGAACCTGGCAACCCCACAAACGCAGTATATTGTACTTTCCTGCCAGTGATATTGTTTCTAATCACCGACTCCTTTTTATATGTTTGAATTACATATATACATTTCATACAGATACATATGCATTTCATATATTACATACAATAGTGTACAATATGTAACACATATCACATAGTGATATGTCATATACAATTAGCACAAACGCATCAGAGACAACAGCACTGAGGCACTTACTCGATTATTCCGATTCGTTTCTTCATACATCTACTAACGTGACTAACTACATGTACAGCTGCAGACACGGCAGACACACTCACAGATCTGACACAGAGCAGCTCCTGCTCGGCTAGCAGGCACGCCGTGTCCCGCTGCCTCACAGCCTTCCTCAGCGTGGCGATGTCGCGCAGCGCCCTCTCATGGTTATGCAGCAGGCTCACGTATCCCTGCGACGTTGCTGTGTCGTCGACCTGCGCGCAGAACGAGATGCGGGGACGTGAGACGCGTCGCGAGCGTGGCGGCCCGCGCGCAGAACGAGATGCGGGGACGTGAGACGTGTCGCGAGCGTGGCGGCCCGCGCGCAGAACGAGATGCGGGGACGTGAGACGTGTCGCGAGTGTGGCGGCCCGCGCGCGGCACGAGACGCGGGGACGTGAGACGCGTCGCGAGCGTGGCGGCCCGCGCGCAGAACGAGATGCGGGGCGTTGGGCGTGTTGGCGGGGTTGGCGGCCCGCGCGCAGAACGAGACGCGGGGACGTGAGACGCGTCGCGAGCGTGGCGGCCCGCGCGCAGAACGAGACGCGGGGACGTGAGACGCGTCGCGAGCGTGGCGGCCCGCGCGCAGAA